CTCTCTCTCTCTCACTCTCTCTCTCTCGCTGGCTCGTTCGCTCTCTCTCTCTCTCTCTCCCTTTCTCTCTCTGTCGCAAAGCGCCATGTCAAAAGCAGATATTATCTGGTGTTATAGCCAAATGCTACAACATCTGATATATATTATATTGGCTTCTAAAAACAGCTCACCCCGGTCTTTCAATTTATTCACAGTTTTTCTTTTTAACAGTATGGTTTTTGGATCTTCCAGGTTGTATAAAATCTGGTCACAGTAAAAAGTGGGTAGATTTTAATGTTAAATAGCGTCGAGTATTCATTCCACTGTGTTATAGAATTATAATCCATTTCCAGTTTCGAGGATAGCGTGGGTCTATTGGGTGTCTTTGCTTGGTAAACCTGCGCCAGGACCCAAGCTGTTTCGGTGAGTAGACTACTAACAGTAGTACTATACCGTAAGGGTTGTAGACATAGCATAAAACTAACTGATATGTTCCGGAATATCTATATGGCTGTGAAGGCTGGACAATCACTAAAGACGATGAAAATAAAATAGAAGCAATAGAAATGTGGTTTCTTAGGAGACTGCTAAGAATATCGCGGAAGGAAAAGAAATCAAAAGAGAAAGTACTTGATGAAGTCCACGTGGGACGTTCACTGTTACAAACAATCAGAAAAAAAACAAAATGAAGAATTTGGGACACCTCAATAAATAGACATAAAGGTCTTGAAAATCAAGCTGTCACTAGTAAAATTGGAGGCAAGCGGGGCAGGGGTATGCCCAGAGCAACCTACTTATGTCGATGTCTGCGGCAGATCTGGCACTTGATGATGATGATGATGATGTTCCAATAACACAAATACTGGAATCAAGACACGGAGAGACAGAAATTTAAATGAAGGCAGCATTAAAAAATTCTAATATTATGACAGAGTCAGATTGTCATGATTTTGAGCTTTAAAATGTATCAAATTGTAGGTTCCGATAGCTATGTATAGTTATAGAATAATCGTGTGTGGGTGACACGGGGTTCTGATGGCTGGTCAGTGGGTGTCTCCTTGAGCAACATGCCATAATCTGAGCTCAGAAAGAGGGCAAGGCACAGTGGAGACTGGCAGTGGTGTGTTAGGCTACTACGTTTATGGTAGTGTATATTATAATTCCTGCTGTTATGTATTTAGGTATATTGATATATTTATGTATGCCACTGTGAAACGAATTTCGAACCGAAGGGCGAGCGGCCAGCTGTTGCTGGATCGATAACGACATAAAACGAATTTCCGGGAGGATAAAGTGAAATTCGGTTGGTTTTTTTAATTCAGTAAGTAAGCATAGGCAGAATATGTCTAGGCCTATTTACTTTTTTATGGTAAAGTGGAATTTCTATTTATTAATTATTTCTTAAATAGATTTTGTACTTAAGCCTTCACATTCTACATACGTTTGTAGTAAGGGCTCTCGTGGTTTGAGGTTAAGACATTCGCCTTTCATTCAATAGGTTCCGGGTTCGAATCCGGATAGCGATGGAAATTTTTCTTCTCTAAAAGTGTCTCCTTTCACGTCCTTTCCTGCTCTCTAACAACGTTCTGTTGCCTGCTTTAGTCTCTACTTTCTGCCCCCGCCCCCTCACCTCCTTTGCCCCATCTTCTGGGCTCCTGGCTATTTTGCAGCCTTTCTACTGCTACCCCTTGGCTCCTTCTTACTGCTGTCTTTCAGACACTTCCCTGATCTTATAGTAGGTAAGATCTACATCCAGCCTTCTCGGACAAGGGCTAAAAACCCCCAAAAAACTCGGAGGTCCCTTGTGCAAGTTGCTCATGTTAAAGATCCCTGATTGGTAGTCCAAAATCGATAAGAGTAGGCTTCGGCTGCCTCCTGGGCAAAATTCAAAATTACCTGCCAACTGAAAATGTTTAATGTGTCTCACGCGTATATGACCGCATGCAGTTGCGAGCGCCGTTAAACACTTACCAGAAAGAAAGAAAGAAAGAAAGGAAGAAAAAACAAGCAAGAAAGAAATACTATTATAGGGACAGCAAGACTGTCGTCACAGTAGTAGTACATGTGGTTGCGATTAATAATGGTCTGGTGGTAAGACTACCGGACTTGTTATCGTGAAGTTATAGAGACGCCCATGAAGTATCCAAATAAAAGGTAAGGGGACATAGCCCAAGGTCATATGAGTGCGCGGGACACCCCAAACATTTTCAGTTGGTAGGAAAATTTGATTTTTGCCTGGATGTCGCCGAGGCTTACTCTTATCGAATGGAGACGAAATCAGAAGACAGAACATTGTTAGTGAACAAGAGAGGATGTGAAAGGAGAAAATTTTAGAGAAGAAAATATTTTCAGTCACTATCCGGATTCGATCTCGGGACCTATTGAATGAGAGGCGAACACCTTAACCTCAAGGCCATGAGAACCTCCTTCTGGCCTGATAAGATAAGGTCGTCTCGGGTTCGGGGCTTCAGCTCAGGTCGGCGATGTGTCCTTGGCAAAGTACTTTAAAACAATTGTCCTCATTTCACCAAGGTGTTAATTGAAACCCGTACATACTATTGCATTGACTAGCTACCACAAACGGTGCGCCGATCGCGGCAAGTCGAGTTCTTCCCGAGGAGGAAAACTGTCGTAGTGATCAACTTCACAAACGTAGCTTTTCCCTCATGATTGCTTGATTTTAATTAAATAAAAACCTTTTTGAAGAGCTTGTTTTGTTCTAATATCTGTGTTGTTCATGGATAGAATGGACGTGTGGAAATATGTTTAATATAGCTCTAAAATTTGGGGAAATGACGCATTTTGCGTCCGACCGGCGCTCGCATCGAAACCTAGCCAGAACCACTCTTTTTCTTTAAAAAACTGCTCTGTCGCGATAGTGTGTACAGAAATAACTGCTGTATTATTAGAAAGGTCAAAAGCCTACCTTTACCCCCATACTAGGCAGGCCAGGATTTTTTTTGACAAAATAGGTAAAATTTGAAGTGGAAAGACAATGTTGTGAGAAGTTTCGATAAAATCTCAGTATTCTGAACATTTTTTTAGATGTGCTTTACACGTAAAGCTAGTTCACAATATATTTGTTTTATTCAAGCAAGTACTGTTAAACTATTTGTTATCGTGGTACCGCTATTGGGCTTCAAACTGTGGATGCGTGTGTCGGGGAAACTCGCTTTCTGTTACAACGGCTGAAGAGGCAGCTGTCGAGGCACTCGGCACACCGACCGGCAAGCGTACGGATTACGATGGGAATACGCGTAACAACAACTAATCTGCCAACCAACTGTGTGATTTGTTCCATCTCATTGATAAGTAATTCAACGTTTTAGTTGTTTAAGATGATCAAGCTTCAGGATTTTCCGAGAAAAAAATTGTATTAGTACTTAAGCTACTGGTCATTTCACGGGAGTCAATAAACACTGGCGGAACAGCCAAACGATCTAGATCTCTATCCATCGGAACAGAAAGTAGTAATGTTGCTTCCGGTTTCGCACATTTTCAACTTTATCTCTTTTTTTATAACCTCAATGCAACTACTTTTCATAACAAGTTGACCAAAAGTGTTTTTATTCATAAAAATATGAACCATAAATGTATTATGTATGGCTTGGGCCTAGCTTTGATCCTATAATGTCGTTCTGTCAAAATTCTTGGGATATAACTACGGCATTGCAGACTACTTCTTTATTTTTAAATTCTACGTGTTCACCATCTGTTGTGTTACCGTTAAGCGTCAAGGGGTTCTGTTACAATAATCATGAATAATGACAGTTCTAC